AGGAGGTGGTGCAGACTCTGTTCACGGTGGCGCGAGCGGGGCGGGGGGCCCCTGATCGAGGGGGTTCCGATCGATGGGGCCCCTGATCGAGGGGTTCCTGATCGAGGAGCGCCTGATCGAGGCGCTCCTAATCCTCCCTCTCCTGTTTGGCCCTCTCTCCCCAGGTGGGGGCTGCTGCGGCCGCTGGCGGCGGAAGCAGCAGCAGCAGCAGCGGCTCGCAGGCGCCGATGCAGCAGCAGCCTGCGATGCAGCAGCAGCCCCCGATGCAGCAACAGCCTCCGACGCAGCATGTTCCGATGCAGCAACAGCCTCCGATGCTGCAGCAGCAGCCTCCGATGCAGCAGCACATGCAGCAGCCTGCGATGCAGCAACGGCCGCCGATCATGCAACAGCCTCCACAGAGCTGGCAGCCTCCGACGATGCAGGTCTGGGAGCCTGCGCAAATGCAGCAACAGCCTCCGATGCATCAGCAGCCTGCGATGCAGCCGCCCCCGATGCAGCACCAGCCCCCGATGCAGCAACAGCCTCCGATGCAGCAGCAGCCTCCGATGCAGCAGCAGCCTCCGATGCAGCAACAGCCTCCGATGCAGCAGCAGCCTCCGATGCAACAGCCGCCGATCATGCAACAGCCTCCACAGATCTGGCAGCCTCCGCAGATGCAGCAACAGCCTCCACAGATCTGGCAGCCTCCTCCGATGCAGCAACAGCCTCCACAGATCTGGCAGCCTCCGCAGATGCAGCAACAGCCTCCACAGATCTGGCAGCCTCCGCAGATGCAGCAACAGCCTCCGATGCATCAGCAGCCTGCGACGCAGCAACAGCCTCCGATGCAGCAGCAGCAGCTTGCACCGCAGCCTCCGATGCAGCAGCCTCCGACGCAGCAGCCTCCGACGCAGCAGCCTCCGATGCTGCAGCCTCCGATGCAGCTTCCACCGCAACCTCTGACGCAGCAGTTTGCGCACATGATGCTGTCGCAGATGCACGGGCAGTCTCCGCAGACGGCGCCATGGCACTCCAGCAGAGCCCCATGAGCAGGTCAGCGGGACTGGGATGGAGACTGCACCTACACACCCGCGGGGGGCCCAACCCCTCCGGAGAGGCCACTTCGAGGCGAGCCCCCGGCACCCCGCCTCGGGGGCCAGCCACAGAAGTGGGGTCGAAGACAAAAAAAACAAGTTTTTTTTGCGTTCGAACCCACAATTCTCGTGAAAATGAAGTGGCCGAAAACTCCCCTCGAATTCTCTGCGTGGAGAAACACATTATTTTCATGTGTTTCTCCACACAGAATGGCCCCGACGGGTCCAGGGGCAAGACGCCAACGCGATCGTCGTCTTCGTCGTTGTCGTCGTCGTCGCCGTCGTCGCCGTCGTCGTCGTCGCCGCCGCCGCCGCCGCCGCCGTCGTCGTCGTCGTCGTCGTCGTCGTCAGCGTCATCGCGATCGTCGTGATTGTCGTCGTCGTCATCGTCGTGATCGTCGTCGTCGTCGTGAGGGTTAAAACTGAGGCCTCAGTTTTAACCCTGAATCTCTCTTGCCCTTCGGCTATCGTCCGTCGTCGTCGTCGTCGTCGTCGTGATCCTCCTCGTCATCGCCCTCTTCAGTCGTCAGTCGTCGTCGTGGTCGTCTTCGGCATCGTGGTCGTCGTCGTCGTCGTCGTCGTCGGCATCGTTGTCGCCGACGTCGCCGCCTTCGTCGTCTTCGTCGTTGTCGTCGTCGTCGTCGTCGTCGTCGTGATCGTCGTCGTCGTCGTCGTCGTCGTCGTCGTCGTCGTCGTGATCGTCGTCGTCGTCGTCGTCGTCGTCGTGACCGTCGTGGCAGTTATTTTCAAGTTCGATTTTGCCCTTCCTGCACCCCCGAGGTGAGGCGCCAGCGGAGGCGGCGCCAGGTCGGCGGCTCGGCCAGGGCGCCGACGCAAGGGGGGAGCAGCGGACGCCGACGAAAAATAAAATATTTTATTTTGTTTAGTTGTTTTGCCTTGCACAACGCCACCAGACAAAATAACATATTTTATGTTGTGATTTTGCGTTGCGTTTTACAATACAAAACAACAAAATAAAATATTTTATTTTGTTTCCTCCTGTTGTAACAGACAACCGAAAACAATAAAATAAAATATTTGTTTTTGGTTTCTTCTGCTGTGGTGACCCAAAACAAGGAAGGGAGAAGAAGCGGAGCGGAACGGAGCAGGTGTGGATCGCCTCAGGCATGCACGGTTTCAAGGTTTGTTGGTGCGCCTCGAACATACAATGTTCGAGATGCACATCCGTCGTCGTCGTCGTCGTCGCCGTCGTCGTCGTCGTCTTCGTCGGAATCAGATTTCTCCTTTCTGATGAGGAAAGCAAGCAACATATAATATTCTATTTTTCGTCGGCTGATGAGGGGCGACGACGCCTCCCGGGCGCGGGGGCCTTCGCCCGCTCTTGTGACAAGAGCGACACTTTGAAAGATTCGGCGTCCCTGGCCGTTCGCCGTGCGCTTGCGGAAACGCCCTCTTCCTTGTCTCAGGGGCCCCTGGCCGAGGGCCCCTTGTGTGATTCCCTTTACTCCTCCCCCTCGCGCGACTCTCTCTATTCCTTCTCCTCCTCACCCTCCGTGCCCACATTGGCTCGAGCCTTTTCTTGGTGCTTGACGCCCTCATGGGCCTGCTCTCCAAGCGAGCGAGGCCGTGCGATGCGGCCTCCCTGCCGCCAGCGCAGAGGTTGAGGGCGAACTTGGGAGATCTGGTGGCTTCAAATACTCTGTCTGGAGAGCGGGGTCTGGAAGTATGTCGCGACGCGGAGGCGTCTGGCGCCTCTGGTATGCAATTTGTGCATAAAACAGGCGCCTCAGCAAGCAAAGCGGGGAGGTTGCCCAACGCGGCCCGTTTCATGAGAAACTTTTTCAGAAGGAAAGGTGGCTGGCCACGCGCCTACACGGCTCCTATCAGGGCCACGCAGAGGGGCCAGACTGAGGAGAAGTGGACGAACTGTGCATTTTGGCTCCCTCACGAGTTGATCAACACCCTCTTTCATTTCGGGGACCGCGACATCATCCTGGACAGAAGCGGTCTGGACGACGTATCGCGGCGGCTGGTAGCAGGGATTGACGAGGAGGTCGGCGAACAGATTCTTGGGCTTGGATTCTGGCAAGATGGGGCCCCAACCAATTGGGACCGGACTGCGTCGTTAGAAATATTTTCTGTCTCACTCCCTGGCCAGGCGGGCAACTGCAAGGGCCTGCGTCTTCCCCTTTGCGCAATACTCAAACACCAAATAGGCCCTCACACGATCGACGATATTTGCAAGGTTCTTGCGTGGTCGTTTAAGTGGCTAGCGCTCGGGAGACACCCGTCCCTGCGCCACGACGACGGCATGTGGCAGCGGAAAAACGGTGACCGTGATCGCGCAGCTGCGGCTGGGCACCCGTTGCCAGTGAAGTGCGGGTTGATCCAGATCAGAGGTGACTGGAAGATGTTCAGGGACATCTTCCACCTGCCGAGGTGGGACACCCAATCGGGATGCTGCTACAGGTGCTGGATCCGACCCGACGAGGCCGAAGCGGGCCCTTCAAACGCGCGCCCCGCCCCCAGAACGCAATGTTCGATTACTGTTTGTTTGCGAGGGCGATGCCCCACGTGCGTTTTTATGTGTCGCGGGCGCGCGGTTGGAGACCCCGCTGCGTTCTCACGGAGTCGCTCACGCCCCTGCCAAGGTATCCGAGCAGGTGGGCGCTTCTGCGCCCTGGAGAACGCGGCGAAAGTCTTGGCAAGATCTCATCGCGTGCATTTTACGGAGCGGGGCCACTGTGAATCCATTGCTTCAGGCTATATTCCTCTTTCTTGTTTTTTATTTTGCTTTTTCTCTTTGTGTGTTGCTTTCCTTGTTTATTTTCTTTTTTTTTTTTTTTTTTTTTTTTTTTTTTTTTTTTTTAAAACAAACGAGTTTTTTTTCTCTTAATATTTTCATTTTTACTTATTTTTGAAGGATTTTAATCTTTGCTCCTTTTCGGCTTTTTTTTTTAGATTTTTTATAAATTTTTTTGCCTCATAACGTGGTGGATTGATGGATATTTTGTTTCTGGACACCATCAAAATAGATTGGTTACACTGCGCCGACATGGGCGTGACCGCGGACTTCTTGGGTGGTTTGTTCTGGGCGTTGGAAGCGAAGTTGCCCGGGGGGTCCCGGGAGACTCGGGTGTCTGTTCTTTCAGACAAGATGTTGGATTATTACGCACGGAGGAAGGTGAATGACAAGATCAGACAGCTGACGGTTTCCATCATAAAACGTGATAAGAAAAGCCCGAAGCTGAAGATGCAAGCCGCCCATGGCCGGCACCTTGTGCCGTTTGGCATGGAAATCGCCACCGAGCTGTGCGACAGGTCAGTGCCCGAAGAAGACGCCATGTATTGGGCAATGTGGCACTTGAATGAGTGCTACAACACGTTAACGACCAAGGACAAGACTGCCCTGTTCACGAATTCCGTCAAATTCGCCCTTCAGAACACCGCGCTGGCCAAGTTGCTGCCGCAGTGTTTCCGAATAAAGCCGAAGATGCACGCGTGGCTGGAAGCCTGCGCGGAGGGGGGCGACCCGACCTCCCATTGGTGCTACCGAGACGAGGATTTCGGAGGCAGCGTCAGCAATGTCGGCAGGAGGCGCGGGAGCAGCTGCACAGTGGCGGGCGTCAGCGCGGGCGTCGTGTCGAAGTTTTCGATGCAACCGCCCATTCGCACGCTGGATCTCTGAAAATAGCATTTCCTTCCCTTGCGGGGCCCCTGCCCGAGGGGCCCCTGCCCAATAGGCCCTTCCACTGACTCTCTCCTGCAGGGGGCCCTTCACCGAGGGCCCCATGCCCCGTTGTCCTCCTCCCCCCGCCTCCTCCTCATCCTCCTCCTCCTTGCTTTCCCCCGCCATGGCACCCCTGCTGGGATCGCCATGTAAATGCATTTTTGCATGATCGAGCCATCCACCAGCGATCGCACGCTCCGCCTCGACAGCCACCTCGCATTTTCTTGCGAGCCATGGCCGCCCCGTCGTGCTTCGGCCTGCTCGTTCCTCTCTGGACCGCGTGCATGGCGCCCAGGAAGCGGCCTGCCGCCGCCGCCGCTCCAGAGTCGCCCCCCGAGCCTGGGCGGCGGACCGCGGCGAAGTCGAAGGCGAGGGCGGGAGAGGGAGGCGGCGAGCGCCTCGCAGAGGCCGTGGGGGTCGAGGGCGCAGCGCCGCGAGCGGAGGCGACAGCGGAGGCGACAGAGGAGGCGGCAGCGGAGGCGACAGCCGCAGCGCAGGAGGCGCGTGCCCTGCCGACGAAAGAGGAGGCGCGCTCGCCCCCCCCGAAGAAAGCTCCGAAAGGGGCTCGCGACCAGGCGCAGATCAACACGATGCTCACTGGATTGAGGCAAGTGGCGAAGGCCAAGGACGGCGAGAGGGCCTCCGAGGCGCAGGTCGCGCTCGACTCCTACAAGAAGATGGATTGGGAGCAGCAGGAGAGCTTTCTTGATGTGTGGCGCAAGAACGGATCTTCCTGGAAGGGGTCCCTCGCCTGGACGGTCCAGTTCAGGGAGTCGCGCGGCAAGCGCGACGAGACGACCGTTGGCTCGAATGCCAATTGGCGCACGCCTGGCCAGATCTTGAAGGAGGTCGGGTATCAGATCAGCGACTTTGACGACGTCAAAACGGCCATCGCCTTCGCTGTGGCCGAGGCCGAGGACAACCAGAAGCAATACGGCACGGCCACTGACTTCCCGCCGCAGGACCGCCTCCTCCCCCCATCCGCTTTCAAAGGGGCCCTGTTGAGGGCGCCTGACAGGAGCACGCCGACCCCGTGCGGAGCCGCTACTACTTCATCGTCGACCACGGGAAGACCAGGCGCGGCAAACCGCACATCGCCCGCAGGGGGCGAGGACGGGGGCGGGGGAGGACGAGGGGGAAGGGGGCTGGAGGCCGGGGGAAGGCGGAGGAGGAGGAGGAGGAGGAGGAGGGCGAGGAGGACGAGGAGGAGATTCGACAGAACACATGGAGATGGAATGAAAGGGAGGGGCGAGGAGGACAATGGTGGGACGGGGGAAGGAGGAGAGCTGGGAGGGGAGGGGGGAGAGGAGGACGAGGAGGAGGAGGTAGAGGAGGGACAGGCGAGCGAAGGAGGAAGTGGAGGGAGAGGAGCAGGAGGGCAAGTGGGAGGAGGACGGCGGCGACGACGACGAGGAGGGGACGATGGCCCGACAGGGATATCACGTCGGGGACGTCCCAGATGCTCACGGGAAAGCCGTGCGAGAGCAAGGTGAGAGCGCTGGCGGGCGGGGGGGTCTTTCAGTCGCTGGGCGTCGCCGCGAAGGAGAAGATTGAGGTCAAGCTTGAATCCGCCGAGCTCTCTGCCTGCCGCCACAGCGCCAAGACGCTGAGGACAGCAGCGGACCAGAAGGGGGGGGTCGGGCCAGGGCCTCGGCGGGGTCGGGGGAGAGGGGTTCGGTGTGGGCCCAAGAGGAAATGCATCAACGCCCTGCTCCCGAAGATTCAGCAGGTCATCAAGCAGAAGGTGACCACGGCGGCGACAGCCAAACATACGCCTCCTGAGGATCGCGAGGCGCTGGCGGCAAAGCTTGACGGTATCAAGCACGTCGAAGAAGTTTTGCAGACCTCCATCGGCGAGGCCGAGGAGCTCTGTGCGAGGGCCGATATCTGCGCGGAGGACAGCGACAAGGACGAGATGGCCAAGCTCGCGAAGGCTCTCGGGGAGGCGACGCAGGACGGCGAGACCCACAAGAAGTGCGCGACGGAGAGGCTGGCCGACCTTAGGTCGCTCTGAGATGGGCGGCGGTCGCCCGAAGAGCCTCCTCCTCCCTCCTCCTCCTCCTCCTCCTCCTCCTCCTCCTCCTCCTCCTCCTCCTCCTCCTCCTCTTCCTCCCCCTCCTCTTCCTCCTCCTCCTCCTCCTCCCCCCTCTTTTGCCTCCTCTTCCCCCCCCTTCCTCCGCCGCGCTTCCCCCCTTGAACTTGCGGGCGCCCGAGCGCAGGATCGTCGGAATGGGTTTTTGACAAATATCGTGGCCGCCCTGCTGCTGGCGCCGCTCTCCCCCCGCTCCCGCGGCCGCGGCCCTCCTCCCCAACTCTCGATCCCGAGGGGCCCTCGACCGAGGGCCCCTGCCCCGGGGCCGTCCTGCCCGAGGAGCCCCCCGTGGACCCCCCACCGTTCGGGCTCGCGCGATAAGCGCCGCCCTCGGCCAAAAGCTCCCTTCCTGTTAATTAACGGCGTTGTTTCGTTAATTATTGCTTTTCCCAGAACCCTTGGAATCCTTAATTAAGCATCCTCAGAATTAATTAATGGCACAGGCGCTAATTAGCGTCTACAGCGTTAATTAGCGTCGTCGGAGTTAAATAATGATGATTTCCTTCAATAAGGGAAAAAAAGATTCTCATGGGGGATGCCCAGAGGAGCCCAGAGCGGCCTCCGGCACCGTTTCCGGACGGATCCGCTGGATCCGGCGACGAATCCCAAACCGGCGCCCTCGCCTGAGACATCCTCACAAAACGGGCCCCGGGGGGGATGCCCAGAGGAGCCCACCTGAAGGCCCTCGGCCTTACTAATTGTTAGCAGCAGTTGTAAGTAGGTTATAAGTAAGTTGCAACTAGGTTGCAAGTAAGTTATAACCATTAGTAATGTTACTAAGTCGGCTAACTCGGGCGGTGCATTTGGAGGTAGATAGCTTGAGTTAGCGAAGCTGCTAGCTTGGCTAACTTTTACATGTTTACTTGAAAACAGAGCTGCTGCATCGGGTTGTCCTTGGATGTTGCCTCCAGAAACGCATGCATGTGTTTGGATTTTCGGGATCACGCATATCGGAAATCATGATCCAGACTTGCGTGCGAACGCATTCAGAATATTGTATCGAGCGTACAAGAATGTTGTGCATTGCAAATGCAACATATCATTTCGAATTCGCAACCCTCTGTTGCACATGTTTTTGAATGTCACTAGAGTTTGGGCTCCAGCCGTTTGGGCGAGGATTGCTGCTGGCGCTTGTGGCGTCCTCCTGCACGCGGCGTGATGAACGCCTCCCGTGAACAGCAGATCGCGGAGGTCCGCCCCAAGATGATGGCCATCAAGGACATGTACTTGCATCCTGATGCAGCGGTGGTCTCATTACTTGAAGACGTATGCAGCATTGCAAGAGGCATAGACTGCCTGAGGGTAGAAAAAATACACTCGAAGTATATGATGGTGTGCACAGAGAATCGTTACGGAGATGGAATCATTCCGAGCGAGGTTATGGATTTGATTTCCAAGATCTTCAAAAATGGATTCAAGAACTCAGCCCTCCAGAATCCAGCTTGCATGGAACTTCCACCAGTGGGCACGCCTGAGTACAATGCAATCAAGAACTTCAATTTCAAAATAATGGAGGACTCAGCGGGCCAGCTGCCGCAGTATGATTGCGATGCAAAGTTCGCATCCTATACGTGCGGCCACACATCCATGGGTTTGCGTTGCATCAACGCAGGGGTTCCAGTACCCACGGTCATGCCAGAGCGTTTCGACAGAATCTCGCACCAAGGGAAATTGTCACTGACGAGGTTACGGGAGGTTCAACCAGACTACGCTAAGGCGTGTGACGAAGGAATTGAGTGGAAGGTCTTTCGGTACGAGTTCGTGAAGGAGTTCCCGTGGATTAGTAATCTTGCTCAGGAGGCTGGCAATGCAGGCCAACAAATTGCCAGATGCGAATCTCGCATGAGTCTCATGTACAAGATCGCAGCAATTGCCAACCGACACCACACGGGTGGCACCATGATCGATTGGGATAGTGTGATCCGCGAGGCGACTCGCGCAGGCTCTCTCTTTCCTGGGGAGATCGATGGCTTAGTAAAATATGTGAAGGAGTTGTCTGGCGGCCTCGGCAACCCGATCTTTCTGAACGAGCTTCGCGACTTCTCGCGGCAGCTGACCTCCCAGTGCGTGGTCACGGGTTCAATGGCGAAGTCTCTCGCCGAGGTGCAGATCAAGCATGAGGGGGCCGCTGCGACATTCAAGCTCGCATGCATGAAGGCGATGACATGTGCGACGGGTAAGTTCGCGAGGGATGGCCATCAGATGCTTTTGAAGCCAGGCGACGTGACCGCCTTGTCGAGCGATAAGAAGTCTACGATTGTAATGGTGGCCGATGAATTTCTTCAGAAAGTGCGACAGGATCGCATGCGGTGAGGGCATCACGGCAGACACGGTCGCCTACGGCACCATCGTGGGATTGACTGACGTTCGCGTAGTTCATTTCGTGTTCAACAAGCCCGATGAGCGCTTAGGCACTTGCAAGACGCTGAATGACATCGGGGTCAGCTTCACCACTGCGTTGGCAACGCACGTTGGCAAAGCAGTTGCTAGCCCATGGAAGCAGATCGGTCGCGAGAGCGCATCCAAAGCCGTGACAGGGCAGGCGCGTAGCTCAGATGTGAAAGAGCACACCGCTTCGGGCAAGTGGTCGAACCAAGTGGACAAGCTCAGTGACAAGGGGTTTGAGGTTGGCGCCAAAGTCGCCTTGGCGAGCGACACCTTGGGTGAGAACATTTACGAGCTGATCTCCATCGACGCTGCGACTGGCGTGAAGTTGAAGCTTCAGGCCACGGGCAGTGCGACATGCCACCCCATCGACGACTTCTTACGTGGCAAGTTCGTCGTGTCCACGATTATGAAGGACAGTCTTGCGACCTCGTCGCAATGCATGTGGAATGCATATACACCCCCACACCTTTGAATTCTCGTTCGTCGTTCCCTCATCTCATTTGGCTCTGCGTCGTCATGTCTCATCTTTTTTTTCCCGCTGCTCCCCCATAGAGGAAACGATCGACAAGTTCGCTGACCATGGCCCCCTCAAGTCTGTCGATTACCAGTGGGGTATCGAGGAGGCCAAAATCAGGCTGGCCTTGGATGATGTATACAGCCAGAACGGCAACTGTCTCAAGTACTTGAGTGGCGTGATTACGCCTGTTAAGCTTCGTGCTCTCACCGTAACGCGTTCGTTTGAGGCTGAAGAGCTGGTGCTTGTCCCACTCTCTTCGGCAATCTACTTGAAGAAGCAGACTGATATAGTTCAGCGTGGGCATGTGTTCATGAAGACATACAAGGACCCCAAGGGATTGACGTTCAATATCGTGTTGGCCCCCAGTGGTGGCATCAAGATGCCTAAGGCTGAGACGAACACTGGCGTTGGAGGGCTGAAGCAGGCACCGTCTTCGCTCGTCATCCCCTTCTGGCTCGCACAGGATTCAGGTGAGCACGGCGCCCCCAACATGAAGCTCAAGACCGTCAAGTCTACAGCTGCCCCATCAGTGCATGTACCAATTTTGACAAACAAGTGCGCCATCAACAAGGGCGATGCCCTTAGCGCCCAGCTGGCATCGCTCATGCCCAAGCGCAAGGTAGACGATGTGCCTGCTGCGCCCGCGGCTAAGAAGGCCAGGAAGCGATGAGGCTCGCGTGTTGGCAGCATCGGTTACACATACCATGTGTCGTGGGGGGTGTTTATGAAATGTATGAAAGCATCGTCGGTATCGTTCCTCTGCAATCGTTGCATCATTGCGTCAACGCGCATCGGACTCGTCTGCAATTGCCCATTGCATCGGCCCGCAGGCGTTTGGCTGTGTCCAAGCGAGTGCACGCTGCATCTGCGCACGCACTGCAGCTGCAGATGGCAGTGAGCGTGCAGCTCCGCACGGTCATCGAGGGGGGCGGCCTTAAGGATCGCGAGCCATGGGCCCCGAGGGCGGTGATGCATACGGCAGGGGGGCTCTTCGTGGAGCTGTCGAGAGCGGATAGGCAGCTGCAAAAATTTATATCTGTGCCCAACCCCACCAAGAGCCAATCGCCTCTGGCGACAAATTCGTTTTTCGATCAGATCTTGAAGATGCGCAACGCCGCTTGCACCGAGGCCATTTGGGACCACTTGAAGCAGGCCGACCCATTGCTTCAGCAAGATTGCGACAGGCCAGCGTCATTAAGAACAATAGGAGTTCTCTGGATATGTCGCAATCGTGGACGCTTCGCGTATTCCCACCAGGGGAGGAGGAAGGAGAGGAGGAGGATGATACATTGGATGATGAGGTGGAGTGGCGGGGGAGGGGGGCGAGGAGGAGGGGCTGAAACAGAGGGGGATGGTGGAGGAGAAATGGGAGGAGGGAAAGGGGGAGGAGGAAGGAGCATAAGGATGACAAAAAAAGGATGAGGAGGAGGAATAGGAGATGCCTTAATTCGCTTGCGTGAATAGGCCGCTCTTGGACCACTCTTGGATCGATCTCTTGACCTTGAGACTTCTTGGGCAATCTTGGATCGCGTGATATCTTGGACAAGTTTGGGCAATCTTGGGTCGCGTGATATCCATGCCTGCATGTTGAGGCATCGCGTGATATTGGGACATATCCGTGGGCATCTTGAAGTATATATGAGCCCCTCTTGGAACCACCGTCCAGGCAAACCACTCCCCCAAGGGGATGAAGGGCGTAGAAGAGAACGCATTCTAGACATGTGCCCTAACGGGATGGTGGTCTACCAGAAACTGTCTCGATATATATGCCCGCAGTACAGTGCGACCATGGTGATGAGCATTTGCATCACGATGCAGTTACCTTGAAGCTTCTGTTTGAGCTGAATGCTACTAAGAAGGTGTGGGTCGAATGTACGCCAACGGGACTTGAGTACATACGGGTTGCATCTATCGCAGCAGCGGTTTCATGCAGTCAAGAGGCAACACATCGCTTGCGGTCAGCACCAGCAGGGGTGGAAGGTGTGAAATGCGACAAACGTCGCAGGACTGTGTTCATGGTGGTCGACGGCAAGCGTCTGCAGGAGCGAGTGGACGATTGGAATCCCACGTACATCAACAACGCAGCCCAATCCCTTCGTGATCGCTTAGATAACGAGGCACGTGATGAGGCTGAAGCTGATGGGTCCGAGGAGTACTATGACCCGCCAGTCGCAGCAGGCGATGGCTCGCCACCAGGCGATGGCTCGCCACCAGGCGATGGCTCGCCACCAGGCGATGGCTCGCCACCAGGCGATGGTTCGCCAGGCGATGGTTCGCCGCCAGGTGATGGTTCGCCAGGCGATGGTTCGCCACCAGGTGATGGGCCGCCCTCTGTTTTCACTCGCCGACGGGCGATGCGCCAGACGACGCTTAGCTTCCAGTAGCTCCACTCCCTCTTCGCCTTCCCACCTCCCCTTCCCTCTCCCTCCAATCTCTATTCTATGTTTGCCTCGCGTGCTCAGTCCGAATCTGGCCCCGCTGGCGGCGGGGACTCAGTAACATAACTCAGTTCAAGATGCGGAGGGCCATCGTCGCGCATGCCGCTGTTCGGCACATCGGCGCCCCTGCCCATGCTCATGCCCTTGCCCTCGTCGGAGCCCTTGCCACCATCGTAGCCCCCGCCGCTGTCGAGGGCCGTCGCCTTGCCCTTACCACCGTCGTTAATGCTCTTGCCACCGTTGTAGCCCTCGCCATCGTCGTAGCCCTGGCCACCGTCGTAGAACTTGTCACCGTCGGTGCTGCCCTTGCTACCATCGTAGCCCTTGCCACCGTCGTAGTAGCCCATGGCCTCGTCGTCGATGCCCGTGCCACCGTCGTAGCTTGTACAGCCGCGACCGATGCCATCAGCACCCTTGCCATCGTCGTAGCCCTTTTCGTAGCCCTGGTCGTAGCCCTTGTCGTAGCCATTGACGTAGCCCGTGTCGTAGACCGCGTCGTAGCCCTTGCTCGAGCTGCCGCACGGGTCGTAGCCTTTGTCGCTGCCCTTGCCGCCGTCGTAGCCTTTGTCGAAGCCCTTGCTGCCGTCGTAGCCTTTGCCGCCGTCGCTGCCCTTGCCGCCGTCGTGGCCTTTGCCGCTGTCCGACATCATGTCCTGCAGCCCGTCACGCTGCCCCTTCGCCAGCCTGATGTGGCCCTTGCCGCTGTCGCCGTCTTTGTCGCGGCCCTTGCCGCTGCCGTCATTCTCGCGGCCCTTGCCACTGTCGTAGCCCTTGCCCTTGCCACCGTCGTAGCCCTTGCCCTTGCCATCGTCGTAACCCTTGCCACCGTCGTCGTAGCCCTTGCCATCGCTGTCGTAGCCCGTGTCGTAGCCCTTGTCGTAGCCTTTGTCGTAGCCCTTGTCGTAGCCTTTGTCGTAGCCCTTGTCGTAGCCTTTGTCGTAGCCACTGTTGTCGTAGCCACTGTTGTCGTAGCCACTGTTGTCGTAGCCCTTAATCAAGAGCTCGGTGACGTCGAGCAGCCTATCTGTCAGCCGCCGCTCCCGCTGGAGCTCCTGTATGGAGGGCGAAAATCCGCCGACCTCCCTCCTCCTCCTCCTCCTCCTCCTCCTCCTCCCCCCCCTCCTCCTCCTCCTCCTCCTCCTCCTCCTGTTCCTTCTCCCCCTCCTCTTCCTCCTCATCATCCTCGTCTTCCTCCTCGTCCTCCTCATCCCCCTTCATCCTTCTCCTGTGGCTCTCACCCCAGCAGTCCTCTTGCAGGCGGCTCAGCGCCTCCGCGGAGGCGCTGTCATGGCGCGCCATGGCGGCGCGGGCGGCGCGCGCGGCCACCCGCGCGCGGCCACGCCCCCCTGGGAGGAGAAAGGGGCCCTCCAGGGGGCCTCGGCCCAGAAACAGCAGCGCGCGCAAATGGGGGGAGGGGGGGGGGGGGATTCAGGTGAGGGTGCGATTCGGGTGAGGGGGCGTGGCTGCGTCGCGAATCGTTTCGCGCTGTGCACTCACGGGTGCATGCAGCAATGCATGCGGTTGTTTCAGAGTCTACTTGGGGATGTGAACTTGAAAATGAGATGCGTTAACATCGTCGTCTGCGTTCGCTCGAGACAGCCTCACAATTCACTCAGCACCACACGACCTCACAATGAACTCAGTACCGCGAACCATGATGTTGGTTATGGTATGCCATGCAATGCTACGCTATGATGTGAATATCCCTCCCCGACCTCATCCTCCTCCGTTGCCACCGCCGTTTAGGCCCGAGCGTTGCTTGGGTCGCGACAGTGCGCGACCAGCTGCAGCGCTCCACGCGCAGCAGCTACCAGCGCTCCGCGCGCAGCAGCACCAGCTGCATCAGCACCACCAGTGCATCCAGCAGCTCCACGCGCAGCAGCACCAGCTGCAGCAGCGCCACCAGTGCAACCAGCAGCACCACCCGCAGCAGCATCACCAGTGCAACCAGCAGCACCATGGCGGACGAGACCGCGGTGACGCTGCTCCTGGAGGCGGCGGAGGATATCAACAAGCGGCGGCGCGCGGCGGCCGCGGTCTTGCATCCCACCAGCAAGGTGGCGCCTCGGCCGCGGCAGCCAACCACGCCGCCGACGGCGAAGGTCTTGGCGAAGTACGGTCGCTCGCGCCTGGCCGACAGCTTGCTCGATGAAATGGCATGGCGCCCGCGCTGGATCCCGAGTTGAACTCGTTCCAGGGCCTGCAGGAGTTCATGGACGACGGTGATGGCGACGACACGGGCTACGACGAGGCCACGGGCGACTACGCCAGCTACGACGGTGGCAAGGACACCACCGACGGTGGCAAGGGCTACGACGGTGGCAAGGGCGACGGTGGCACGGGCATCGCCAACGGCTACGACGGTGGCAAGGGCAGCTCGAGCAAGGGCTTCGACAAGGGCCACGACGATGGCAAGGGCAGCGGCGAAGGCTACGATATCGACAAGGGCCGCGACAAAGGCTACCACGGTGACAGGGGCGGCGCGGGCTACGACGGTGGCAAGGGCGACAAGGGCCACGACCGCCGCTACGACCCGTACAGCTCCAAGTGGTATGACCGCCACAGCTCGTGGTACGACCGCGACGGCGATGACTACGACACCAGGTGGTGCGACCGCAAGCGCTGGGGCGACTACGACAAGGGCTCGAGCAAGGGCTGCGACACCAGAGGCTACGACAGCTCGGGATACGACAAGAGTGACAACTACCAGCGTGGCTACGACAACCGTGGTTACAACAGCCGTGGCTACGACAACCGTAGATACGACAACAGTTGCTACGACAACAGTGGCTACGACAACCGTGGCTACGACAATTGCGACAACAGTGGCTACGACAGCCGTGGCTACGACCGCAAGGGCGACAAGGGCTACGATCGCAAGGGCTACGGCGTCGGCAAGGGCTACGACGGTGACACGGGCTACGACGGTGATCCAAGCTACGACCGTGGCGATACAGGCTACGACAGTGGCAAGGGCATCGACAGTGGCAAGGGCTACGACGGCGGCAAGGGCGATAAGGGCCACGACGGCGGCAAGGGCTGGCGCGAGGAGAAGTCCCGCGGCGGGCGCCACATCAGGCTGGCGAAGGCCCTTGCCACCAAGGAGCAGCTGAGCGGGCTGCAGGACATGATGTCGGACCGCGGCAAGGCCGACTACATCGGGTGGAGCAAGCGGACGCACTGGCGCACCTGGGTGGAGGAAAACAATGCAGATCTAGTTCTATCGGGCCCCCTCATCCCTCCTCCTTCAACGGTTCTTACCAAGGACGAGGGGGAAGGATGAGGGCCAAGAACTGGATATGTAATGTGTTCCTCCTCCCGACATCTGGGCGGAGGCGGCTGTTCGCCGCTGATCAGTAGCGCCAGACACCACTACCAACGCGGCGCCGAAGCCGCCGCTGTCGCATTGCGCCTCGAGCGCCCGTGCCGCCACCAGCGCGGCAGCAGGCGTGGAGTCCATTCTAGACCGCGCGCTGCCTCTCCTCCGTCGGGCATGATCTATTATGGTGGGGGTTGTCGTATGTAAGATTCTAACATACGACGCAGTTGTCGTATGTAAAATTCTAACATACGACAAAGTTGTCGTATGTAAGATTCTTACATGCGACACCGTTGTCGTATGTAAGATTCTAACATACGACGGATGTGTTAATAGAATCCTTATGATATATAAGAGCGAGATGTCGTATGTACGATTCTTACATACGACAACGTTGTCGCATGTAAGATTCTGACATACGACAGATTTGTCGCATGTAAGATTCTGACATACGACAGATTTGTCGTATGTGAGATTCTGACATACGACACCAAGGGTTTGAGCTCAAGTTTAGAGTAAACTTCGAGGGTCTCCATCTCGCTCGCGGTCGACGTTGCGCCTAGAATTTGCTTGTCTGCTTGGCTGCGCTGCCCGCGGCTGCGCTGGATCATGTTGATAAGTGATGCATGGGCGTGGCGTGAGCGAGAATAAGGGGAAGTGGGATGAGAGGAGGATGCGCGGGAGAAGGAGGACAAGGAGAAGGAGAGGGGGGAGGATTCTGAGGAGGAGGTGGGGGGTGAGGAGGAGGAGGAGGGGAAGGCCCATCCTCCCCCTCATCCTCATCCTCCCCATCCTACCTTTATCCTCAATAACCTCGCATAGCCTCATCCCTTCCACACCACATACCTCAGATAACCTCGTATCCTCCTCCTCGTCCTTCCTCCCTCCTCTATCCTTCCCTCATTCCTATCCTCTCCTCTCTACCTCCTACCTCTCTCATTGAATCCTTCCCCCCATCCTCTTCCTCCCCCTCCACCTATTTAATCCACCTCCTCCCCCCTCCACCTCCGGCCGACCGCCCCCTCCAGCCTCCTCCTTCTGCGCCCCGCCTCATCACCCACCACATCTCCTCCTCCCCCCACCTCCTCCTCCTACCTCTGCCTCCTCTTCCTCATCCTCATGGCTCCGCCTCCTCATCATGCTCATATCCTCCCCTCATGCTTACTCCGTCTCATTCTCACCCTCCTCATGCTCAGCTATGTCCTCCGCGTTCCCGGTTTCCCTTCCCGCGCGTCGCCGCCGTCGCCGTCGAAGCCGTCGCCTACGCCGTCATCTGCGCGCGCGGTGCAGGAGAGGGCGGCGGCCACCGTGACGACCACGATTGAACGACAACGAGGATGAGGAGGAGTAGGAGGAGGAGCATGAGGAGGAGCAGGACAAGGAGCACGCGGAGGAAGAGGGGGACGATGGGGAGGAGGAGGAGGAGGAGGAGGAGGAGGAGGAGGGGGGCGAAGATGAGGAGGAGTAATTGCCATGGCGGCTGCGATAGCGACGGCGACGGCGAAGAGTTGGTGGCGACGAGTTGGCTGCGACGAGTTCGACGGCGGCGGAGACGACGGCGGGGGCGTCTCATCCTGCTCCTCCTCCTGCTCGCCCTCCCCCTTCTCCTCGTCCTCGTCCTCCTTCTCCTCCCCCCTATCCCTCCTCACCATTCTCATCCCCATCATCCTCCTTCTCCGTCTCATTCACCTCTACCGCCTAACCCTCCTCATCCTATTCTTATTTCTCCTCGTCCTCATTCGTATTCGTATCATCGGTCTCTCCGCATGGTGCTTTATCGCGCGAAAAGCTGCAACGAGAACCTGAAGGCTCGCATACATGCGTTTGCACGCACAACCCCAACGAGCCCCCATCTAAGTGCGCCCCGACAACCGCACTCAGGCGGCGCATTCACCGATACCCAAGGCTTTGCGCCCCCGCGCACGATCGGCAGCACCTGCCTCCACAAGGCGATTATTCGCCCGATCAACCGCACCCTTACACATCTTGGCGTTGTCCTAGAGCAACGTGAACGAATCCGCGGCCTGCTCCGCCTTCTTCACGAGCTTCTCCATCTTCTTGTATGCAGCGTCTGCCTTTCGAGTGGGCATGGACGGGGTTCAGACGTGGCGTTGACACGCCGTTGCTAAGTGCGACCGTTCGCCCAACCGCTTGAGACCATGCGACCGCAGTCGCATTGCCAAGCCATTACACAACCAATTTCACACCCTGACATCATGATAGTACATACCTGCGTGTCAACGCAACCGAACGCGTATGCATACGACTGCATTGGGCGTTTGCATCTACGCCCCCCCCCCCCCCCCCGCCCCCCCTCCCCATATGTCACAAGGTGCTGCCCTTCGAAACGCGAACTACTCGCAGCCGATTGCAATGCGTTTCAACACAACCGAACATGCATACAACTGCATCGGGTGATGCCCAAACGTTTATGCTCTAATCAGCAAATATATTTCGACGTGCATGGATTGCAACCACTTGCAACATGTCAGGCATGAGATACTGGCTGCCTTGCGGTCCGCCTTTTTGGACATATTCTGGCAATGCTGCTTGTGCCTGATCAGGGTATCCAACCTTTCATTGAAGTGCTCCGTGTCCTCCTTGCGGTGCTTGGCACGCAGTGCCTTCAAGTCGGCTGACGTGGCAGGCATAGTCGCGCACACGCGCGCGCGCCGCAGCTTACAAGCTGCGTTCTCTCAGCCCTCAACCAACCGGGCTGCGTGAAAACGCATGTAGTCTGCGACGCGGTCGCATGGCATGAGTGCCAACCATGCGATCACACATCGCTGCCCTACTCATACCCCCCACCCCCCCCCCCCCCCCCCACACACACAACACCAACCACGCACCACACACACACACACACACACACACACACACACACACACACACACACACACACACACACACACACACACACACACACACACACACTACATCGACGCCGTGATCGGGCACTCCCGCTGCATGTCCACCCTCAGCCACCTCCTCATCTCGACCCCTCTCCTGTTCACGCCTCTCGCGCCCCCCCCCCCCCCAGCCTTACTACATGTCGCCAACGATGGCGGGGCTGAACGTCTGGCAAACCGTCAGCAGCATTTGTGGTTCATTCGCCCACCTTTGCGAACCAGTTCACGCGTGGCTTACGCGTCCCCATTTGTGGTTCACGTGTCCATGGGAAAATCAGCGAAGACGATCGCGATGGAAGCGCAGGTGCGCTTTGAGCTGCAGGATGAGAAGCAGGAACACCAGCGGTCAGTGAAGACTGCCAAGACGGCATTGAGGCATGCCAAAGCAGCGAAGACGCAGGCTGAGAAGAAGGCAGGCGGTTGTTAACTAACAACAACACAAGGGCCCCCCGAGGCCAGGGGGGAGGGGATGGGCTCTCGAGCCCACCCCCTTAGTCAATGGCCCCATCGGTGTCGCCAGTCCCACCCGCCTCCGTGCGATCGCCCCCCACCCTCCCCCCCCGATAGGCAGAGAAGAGGTTCAATGCGTTTTTGAAGAGCAAGGACGCGTGGATGAACGAGCTGCTCGACGCGGATGATGCGAGCGCGGCCCACGTTCGGGCCGAGACTGAGCTGGCGCGCGCCGAGCGCGATGCCCGCTAGGGGCGTGGGGGCGACGGACGACGGGTGGAGGGGTCAGAGAAAAAAAACTTGCATGCATCAATGCAAGATGAGTCTGGGCTGATAATGTCGGCATGATAGCGCAGGTGCCTCGTCCTCCTCCTCATCTTCCCCCTTCTCCTCCTCCTCCCTCCTCCTCCGCCTCCGCCTCCCCCCTCCCTCCCCATCCTCATCCTCATCCCCATCCTCGTCCTCCCCATCACATCAGTCCCTCTTCGTCCCTCCTCGTCGTTGTCCTCCTGTTGCTGCTGGTGCTGATGCTCTTGCTCATCCTACTACGCTACGAAGCCGTGCCCCCCCCCCCATCGCTCCCTCACAACTGCTTCGCACTCTGAATGGCATTGGTGCTATGCGTTTCCGCCTTTTCGCGTCATAGGATCATCCGACGCCTCGCGATATCTGTAGGATGACGCAGCACCAAAACCCCAAGAGGAACCACATATAGAGCCCCAAGGCCGCAACGAGGAGGAGGAGAAGGATGAGGAGGGGAAGATGAGGAGGATGAGGCGGAAGAGGAGGAGGATACGGAGGATCGCGACTTTGGGATGCTCCCGACTGGTGAGGTTAAATCCAGAACGCCAGTTCTGTGAGTGATGTCTTGGACCGTCCCCTCGGCATCAGCGCGCGCGCACTTAACGAGAATGATGATGAGACATATGATGATAACAACTGCAGGTGGTCTGCGCTCTTCGTTCGAGTAGGATGGGCTGGCGGGGATACGCGACGCGGCAACACTTACATCGCCATATACGCGTCGGTTCTATGTATGCCAAGATGTATGCAACCCGTTGCAGGTGGTAGACTCGCACTGCCATCCGAAACCAATCTTCGATGCGTGGGGCATTGCAAGTTGGCATCAGTTGGTGTCGGGTTCTCGTTTCGAATATAGATCACACAGGCCCGCGTCGCATAGCCATTTGGGCTCGATCGCGATCGATCGCGATCTATCGCGAGGCGCGATCTTTCGCGAGGCGCGGCCTATCGCGAGGCGCGAGGCGCGAAGGTTCGGAACTGTCGTCATATGACGACGGTTCCGAACCTCCGCGCGGAACTGCAGCACATGTCAGAGTGGGTATCGACACAAATCGCATGCGGCCTGTGCCCATCAGCCGTGGCCCAGCACCAGTACGACAGCCTCCTCATGAAGATCAACAACCTGTCACAGATCAGTACTGACGAGGCGACAGCCTTGGTGAAAACAATCAGGGAGTACTCGCTGAACACTT